TAGTATACCAACGAAAACATTCAGTTTTACTGGCAACTTTAAAATTCCACGATGCACTGAATACGAACAACAAAAGGATTTATCACTGCTATCAGAAGATGCAGTGCGCACTTTTGTGAACTACTCTTTCGACTCCAGGAAAGTAGGCAAACTTGCTACCCAATATTGTCCTAATTTGAGTTTACTAGTTCGGTCAATCAATCACGTGATAGCGCATTCTAGTCTTACCAAAAAGGAAAGGACACGCATGGAAGGGATTAGCCGAAAGTTAGGATACTACCTTATTCAACAATCAAGCAAGTCTGGGACCATCTAACTTAAGAATGTACTTGATTTGATAATGAACTGATAATTGAGATGTATAATTGACACTCGATCTAAGCTTTCCTTATATTTGCTTTATTTACTATTCGGTATACTTATCGTATAACTACTAATACGTTTAATATAGTTTACTGACTCTATTGTTTATCTGTAAATAATTACATATATCAGTTTGTATCATATTTCTATTTTTACTTTACAACCTATATAAATTATTGTTAATTGATTTATTTTTATATCGAGGAATAAAAATCAGAAATGTATGTATGTATGTATGTATGTATGTATGTATGTATGTATGTATGTCTGTATGTATGTATGTCTGTATGTCTGTATGTATGTCTGTATGTATGTCTGTATGTATGTATGTCTGTATGTATGTTTCACCAGTATCCCAAGAACATATGTTCGATGAAACTTTGTATTTAGATTCTCTGGGATAATTAGCAGACCTGATTAATTTTTGGTTGACATCCTTGTTTATTAATGATCTCATTTGCATGATAATGAGTGACTTTTCAGATGTTCCAGCCAGTTTTAGCTATTTTAGTATTATCTCAAGAACTTTTCAGCGTATTTCAATGAAACTTGAAACATAGCTATCCCGGGAAAAATCACAAGCCTGGTTACTTTTTGGTTGACATCTGTGCATAAATCTCCATTTTTGGCAGTTCCACCATAAAATTTAAAGTTGTTATTTGTGATATATGTAATTTTTCACATGTAATCTCATAAAAATAAACACTGTATCCAGTTTATTATTATCATTGTATCAATGGTACTTGTATGATGAGTAATTATGAATCCAAAATACATCAAATCAAACAATATAGGAGGTTCTCACACAACACAACTGTATTTATTTCTTGTATTCAATTCCCTCAGCACACTGGAGTTCATTCTAAGCTTTCTTTGATATGACATGGCCTGCACCTAAGACCTTCTATTATTGCTATATACTCAGTCTTGACTTGTCCTCTACCATTACTGAGTCAGTTACAATCAGACTTGATATGATGACAATACACAAGCAGGTGTACTTTTTTGTTGTTGAGATACATATGTCCAATATTTCCACTTTATTTATTTGTTACTATCCAAGGCCATATAGTTAATGGAAGTAAATAGATTTTGATCAAATATATTGATTGTTATTGTGTGCATGTGGCCTTTCCCACTGACTTGACTTCAAATGTCAAAAACAGAGACTATTTCATTTTAATAATGACTTGTTCTCTGAGGTCTGTCGTATGAAAATACTGCAAAATATTTTATTTTAGCTTTAATTTTTGCTGTAAAGATGTTGGCTTTTTTGTACAGTATTATGTTTATTTTCTTTGATTTTGGTGTGTTGCATGTAAAATATGTATACCGGTATATAAAAAAAAAGCAACACTTAGTTTCACTGATTCATCCGTTCTGTGAATATAGTGAAAATAAAGTATATTACAATCGTGCCAGCAGCCATATGACTGCGATTGGTTCCTGCTGTAGCTTCTTCGCTCATTCATTGGGGCTATAAATAAGTACTTTAATCTGCAAAGGGATTCCCACATTAAAACTACCTTATTCTGAACCAAAACAGTTTTCATTGTTGTTTGATTTCTCTTTCAGATCAATGCTTGCAAGCAGATATGTTAACATTCTGAAGATTGGCAACTACTATTGCTATATTGGAATTCTTGCAAGGTAAATTCAGTCACTCAGCACCTCTCACTTGTCAGTTTTGTCTTTTGTTTTTAATATTGATCATACATAGCAAGCAATTATAAGCAAGGATCAAAAGATGTACAGATTTCAATATTCATAGCTTTTCTTACCACTGAGGTATTTTAGTTTTACTGTTGAGATTACTGGAGGCTTTATTTGTTGAAATAATGCCAACCAGGAATATTGTGCATTTTGATCCCTGCTGGTGACCACCGTTAGCACAAAAATAGATAATTTCATGTCTAGTCGGTGTATACTGGAGATTATTTTCACTACCAATTTACTTTCACTGGAGTGTAAAACAGTCAGATCAAGTTTTTTTGGAATGTGTTTATTTAAAAAAAATCAGTTAAAATTCATGGAAAATAAAAAAAAAATACTCCACAATACAAACATTCTGCCAGTGAAAATAAATGAGCTTCAAAGTAATTCTCAGTATACGTCTACTAGTATATTCCCCATGTATTTATATATAATCTCTTATTCACTATTTTGATCTTTTCAATTACTTTTCTAACCATCTTTCCTACTAGAGCCTGTTAACACTCACACCAGGTTGAACCCAGGATGCTTTTAACCAACTAACGAAGCACATTGCATTATATGATCTATAAATATATGGATTCATAGTGAAAAAATAAATAAACCTGGTTTAAGCCTTCTCTTCTGTACTATGATCACATTCTCTTCCTTATCAAGTTCTTGTTTCAGTGGTGTCGGCTTCCATCCAGACTAGACTAGACTTAGACATGCCAACCCTCTGCTCTCTGAGGTCCATCCCTGGTAGGTTAGATCTATACTATTCTATATGTGTTGTGATCAACAGTAATATATAGAATTCAGAAACATTGGCCATTATATTATGTACAACCTTTGATTCCTGGTTTCAATTTATTAGAGAAAAAAACACACACACAAAAAATAAAACAGCCTGTGCTGTTTTACCAGTATGGCTTTCATCCTCTTATTGCCAACATCTGGTCTATGCTTTCTGTATATCGAGAGATACCTGCCTTATTATTATTATTGCCGACCTCTCTACCAAACATATCAGAGCATTCATTATCTCTGTACTCAGGTTGAAGTAATCTTCACGGGTAATTTCATCGTAACACGTCTGACACAAGACTAGAAAATAGCTCAACATGAATAGCATAGCGTATAAAAAAGGAGAGACTGATAAACTAGTCTATGTATATATCACAGTGGGAAATCCATTATTGGGGTTGTATCATGTTGCCTTGGACTCCTACCACATTTCCCTGTTTGTCAATTCTTGTATACTAAAATTCCATCTTCAGTGCTTGTTTTGATGTCAAACCACCTCCTACCTGTATCAATTCTTGTCTTGGCTGCAATCAATACATTCTTATTCTATTCTAGCCGCTGGCATTAAAATACCACTC